AGGGTTTAGGGTCTAAGCTCCTTATAGGTATAGTCTAAACGCCTTAAAGGGATCATATTGGGTTAAGGGTTTAGGGTTTAAACTCCTTAGGGAGGATTATATAGGGGACTCTACGGGGGAGTCTTATAGCGCTTTTTAAAGGGGATACTAGGAGGTTAGATTAAAAACTTATGTGAGCGAAAATGAAAGCCCTACGGTTCAGGATTAAAGGTTCAGCGCCGAATCATGTGGAATGTAGCACTAACATTTTTCTCTCATTCACAATCGACATCGGACTGCATTTGGACATGTACTAGTTGCTATCGAAAATTGTGACCACGAATCCAACGGTTGATGCTGGATATCTTGCAGCGCCTAGAATCCCCAAACTACTGTTACTCGCAGGGTAGATGCCCTCCATCCACAGTCCGCAGTATTTCCGCCCTTAGAAGTGGCTTTGGAACCGAGATCTTTCCGCAATCCTGGACTGGATTCCGTATGGGAAGTGGCAACATGCCGTTTGGCATGATGGTAGAGAGACTCCTAGAGAGCAGGACACTCATTTCTGAAAACCTTAAAGGTCTCACAGCGAAGATGTCACATCCATGACATGATTCTATCCCCCACCTGTTCCACGTCTAAACAATATGCGCATCAGAGCCCCAAATCATTCTCCTTCGAAGAATTTAAACGCTGACCTGCGCAAATTAAAGCCCAAATATCAATCAAACCCTAACCTGAAACCCTGAACGCTAAACCCAAACCGGGTCCCGCCTGAACCTCATACATGAGATGAGCTCAAACACTCGCATGAACTTTCCAAAGCTTCAGGACGTGTAAGCACTCAGAATTTCTTGGATATTTTCTGTGGGGCTGCAGTTACGTGTGTATATATATATATATATATGTCAGGCAAGTATGGTGCTACCCCTTGGGTTACTCAAAATGACATGTATAACTGCCCTTAAATGTTCAGTAGGTCATGCCACATCCTCACAATGCCAACTGAGGCTTTGTTAAATGTGCCAAGCCTCATGCCAGCAACGTGACACTGGAACACACGCAAACACCTATAGAAATTCTGAACACAACCATGATGAGACAAACTCCCTGTTTGTAGCGTTTCTTAGAATCAAAGCAAGATCAGAACCAGTCTCCAAAACCCCAACCTCTTGACCCCATGATGATTTCCGAACCTAAACCCTGAACCCTAACCCCCAAACCCGAAAAAGCGCATCCATACTACCCCCTGGGTTTCCC